TTACAGTCACAAGTAAGAGCATGGCTGATGGGGGATGGGAATAATGGAAATTTTTTTAGAAAATGGACGGTGATGTAGACAGTGGGCAGTAACGAAGTAGACTTCATCACACCTGAGGTGGCACGGTAGGGACCCAAAATTACAAGGGCTGTTTATCTTCTACGAGAAAATATCAGATAACACAAGATCTGATCGTTAGGATTTAAAAGTGGCGGGCAAAAACAATGCGAGTGAGGGCATAACAAAAAGCTTCCTGCTTAAAACGTGACAGAAAACTTAAAACTGCAGGAAGTGTGTAGCCAGAATAATGGATATGGAGAGGCAGCAGAACTGCTACGACATGGCCGACCAAGTTGAACTAAAGCCCAAAACCGTCACTAGGGCTTCACGGCCTTGGGCATTTGGGCATATAGTCACGGAAAGTGTAAGTGGGAGTGGTGAAGTGGGGTAATATTCAGTGCAGACAAATGGTAGTAGGAAACTCAGAATCACAGTGTACAGCGAAACTTGTGCAACTCACTAGTGCTGGTGCTGGAGCAGGGTCGAGTGTAAAAGTTACTTGGGAGAACGAGTTCACGCAAACTGTACGAAAATTGACCGACTTGGCGAGGAGTTAGAATAAAAGTTACCGAGATCTTTACATGCGACAGAAGGTTCAGATTGCAATGAACGCCTCCCTGTCGTGGCTGGCGGCAAATGAAGACTGATTGTGGTTGCCGGTAAGGAAACGAGTGGGCGTGGTCAATGTAGGAAGTGAACAATCGCGGGTGTGCTATCAAGTTGGGTATCACAGTGCCATACTGTCGCTGCACTGAGATACTTTGGTTTCCGGGCAGCCCCGTGACGGACGTCGTGATTGAGATAGTTAGGCTGAGATGTGCAGTCCTGTGATCAGCGGGATGTTGTGCGTTTGCCAGGGAATTTTTCAGGGTGAGCAAAATCAACGTAATGTCGAGCACAGTATTTGTCGTTGTTGTTGTTTCTTTCTTTCTTTTCAAGTCAGAGATCCCTTCTTCCGTGGTTCACGGATCGGATAGAGTAACAAGGGCCAAACAAGTCGTCCAAAGCGCGATTGCCACGGGTCGAAGCCATTACCACGGGTCGAAGCTCGGGATTAAAGCTGGTGATTCGAGCATTGTTTGTTACCAGCAAAGGCGCCCAGACAGTTATCTTCGGATTACTCGACATTTCGCCTTTTTTCTTGGCTGCTTGCTGCTTTTGTGTTACACAAGCTTGTGCTACAAAACAGCGTTGGTGCTTTGATTACCCACCAAACGCATAAAAACTACATAACTATCCTTCACGTATTCACTTGGCGCCCTCTCAGATGCTGTAAGAGATGCAAGCCAGACGAGAGCAATTTTCTCAACAAAGGTATCTGAGGCCGTTTTTGAAGCCGTGATTGTGCAATTTTAAAATGAAAACCATGCCAATAATTGAAAATGGAGATTGATTAAAACAAACCGCAAAATCAAGGGCATCCGCCAATTGAAGACCAGCGCTGACACCCCACAATTTCTTCTGTCTTTATCGTGCTTGCCAAGTGACCAATGGCTTTCGGTGCGACAATGGCTGGTTGCTTCATGGCGATGAATTCGGCCACTTGCTAGAACAACACACTGCACCGCCAGTGACTATCGCAACATCCCGTCCAAACAAAGCCCATCAGCAGGTCTATGGTAGCCACACCATCTTCACTTGTTCTGGGGGCCTTTATCAACCGGAAGCTCTCAATAATGGCTTCAACTTCAACTTAGATCTCTACCTTAGAGCTACTTCCTCCAACATCATGGTGCAGGTGACCAGTCGCCGACATACTGGAAGTATAATTTGCCTCATCCGAGAATCTATCAACTTGAAAATGTTGTAGCTATCTGCTAATCGGCTTGCAGCCAAAGTAGTAGATAAATTCATGCAGCACGTAGTCGAGGTTTCAGATGGTATCTAAGCTGGCCCAGGCGAACTGGTTGACTAGCCACTAAACCATGGTTTTCCAAGTTCCGAAGCATGCCATCTGTTCATTGCCAGTCTCATGCCACTTTTCTCCTTCATCCACAGCTGGAGGGCAAACCCAAGAATTGGTTAATTTGTGCGCCACCACTTTCTCTTGCACATTGCCCGTCACTCTGTTCCGCCGGACTAAAACGGCGCAGTTCATCATTCTTTCGCTAACCAACTCTTTGGTGCCACCAACGGAATCTACAGTACCATCACTAACAGAAGCGCCCATCGTACCATTCCAGATTTGCCCTCTGCATTTCTTCCTCCAGATTCCACTGACACGGGATACTTGAAGCTTCCTCCGCCATACCTCAGCTCCATTTGGCTTTCGTCATCACACGCGACAATAGCAACGCTCATAGCTGTCCAGTTCCCCTCAGCATAATCACTGCAGTGCATAACTGGCCTCTTATGCAACTGGTTGGTCATGGCCATCAATACTCGCCCGTGAGGATGCCAGTAAATTCAAACCTTCTTGTAACCGGCTGGATTATCCCGAGTCGAATCCCTACTCAGCGCACGTGTTTTGCCCGCCCCCGACTCATTCCCCAACCCACCCTTAGCTGAGCCGGCGGCTAGACGCACACCCAAAATTCCTGTGAAACCGTGGTTCGAAGGAGGAAAAAACCTTTAACATAAACCTTTAACATTTGATAGTAATTTTTCGGATGTATGGGATCTTTTCAAACGGCCGCAGTTTTGTTGGAAGCTGTTTAAACCTACTCAATCCCCACGATATTCAAGGCCCGCGATATTCATATTCTAACGGCTTCTATGGCTGAGCACGTGAATGCGGAGGATGATTTCGTTAAGAATTTAGCTCGTCGAAGTTCTTTCTCATTCTGTGCATTTCAAGTCAGTTTGAAAGCGTATCAGGCGAGAGCATGTCGTTGTTTTCGTCCGCATAAACTCCAAAAAGAGCGGCAATTCATTACTTTTATGTGAAAGCCTTCTGCCGTCGCAGCAGACATCCTTGCCGACGAAGCGGAAGCCGTGGAACTCGTCGCACGTGGTAAGTTCATGGTTGATTGTGTGTACGCGGTAGCACACGTCGTGCTGATTTTCCGGCAAGGTTCTACATTCGCCGGTACCATGACTGCTTGAGGGTTACTTCCTACTACCTGGAGCACAGCCATCCACGCAGCAAGTTTGTTTTTGACAGGCTCCCCATCAACCGGCGATTGACAAATGATGAATTAAACAACCGCCTGGAGAACGCCAACGGACGTTTAAAGAGGCGCGTGCATCACTCAGATAGCCTGGAGCATGCCGTTCTGAAGGTCGCTCATCACAGGGAATGGCTAATGAGCGAATACGAACTGCACACCACTTATTATTGTGACCGTCGAGAAATTCGGGAGGTAGACATCTACGTTTTACGTGTGGTTTCCCGGATGACGACATACGCCGCCAATCAGGTTCTCAGGCACATTGGAATATGCACCCCAAATCTGCTATACAAGCAGACAGATCGCTTCAAGGTGAGAAGCCCGTTGTTAGTAACGGTCAGTTTGCGGTACAAACCCCCAAATGTTCTCAAACGGTAAACACCTCGGCCGGAACCTGCACGTGCATATTTTATCAATCAATGTGGCTGCCTTGTGTACACCTATTTTCAGTATTCAGAGGCCACTCGTTCCCATGCGGTAAGTTGATTGATCGAACATGCAGTGTCTAGGTCAGTTTCCAATCCATCAAAGGTGGCTTGCCGAATATAACCTACCGGAGGAAGCTGTACCTTTATCTCTGGTTCCAAAGCCAGATCCATCACCAATAGAGCATTTGCACAAGCAGCTTGATCGGTTGGTTGGCAAACTGAAGCTGCTGGATCCGTGTAAGGCTGCTGGGTGCATGAAGTGTCTGATTGTCCAAAGCCAGCTGATGTTGCGTCAAAATGCAATTAGTGCACAGGACAACAGCCTCTGGTGTTAGATGGCAACCGCAAACAACCACTGTGGCGTTCGACGCTGTTCCACGTGGTCTCTGCGGCCAGCCAACTGACCCTGCTGATTGGTGGTGTTAACGTGATCGACTTCCATATCACCGTTATTGCTGCG